TGCTAACACGATCAGTGTGAATAAACGTCACTGACAGGCTATGTCCTTGACACATCACGCTGCGTACATCCCTGTTTGAACTAGACTCGATACCTGTGGTTGGTATCTCGCCATTCGACTGATCTGTATTTGATTCCGGCGTGCCCTCAAACACACTCCGTCTGCGTACCCTTTTCCCCATTTACCCGCCGTAGAGATTTGAGCGTGAAATTTTAACAGATTCCTGTGTAATCATTTAATAACAATCAAACGGCTTTCTTCGGCAAGCAAGCCTCTTTTATTTCTTTGATCAGTATCTCTTCTTTTTGGTAACCCTTTAATTTCTATCCATTTGTATTGTGTTTAAGCCTAATTGACCTAGTACCGTTGTGTATAATTATGCACAAAGTCTGGAGTCTATTCAAGCTCTGCCCTTTTTAGCGATATCCAACGTGAGTCAGGTATCTCCCATATGATGATCCGAGTCTCAAGACGGAATGGAGAGGGTTTGTCTGCGCGAGAGGCAGGAACACTGGACAACCTAACAATAAGTCGCCGTGTACTTTTCTTTCTTACGCATAATTTTATCAAATTACTATACGCATAGTCCGGTTGCACAGGAATCAAATTTGCTTTAACTAAAGGGTGGTTGCAATGAATTTTTTTCTTAAACGCACTTTTTTACTTTAGTTTTATACTTTTCTTCAGTGTGTGCAATAAATAAAACATTCGAAATGTCCGTGCTACATATCTTAGATAGCTGAGGGCGCTGTTGCTCTAATGCCATTAGGCAACCGGAAGACATTGTTCACAGCATAGCCTATGTTTTCTGTTCAAATTGTGAACCAAGAATTTACTTAGGGATACAATTTCTGAGCAAGGGTTACTCACTGGCTTATTGCTAAGTACTTGCACAGCAATGAACACTTTATAGACTAACACAGCAATGAAACACACAAAAAAAAAGCAATTGGTGGAAAATCTGGGGTAGCCCTTTATAGGCTTCCGTTGTTGACATGCGGCTTCTTCTTTTTGTTTGCTTTATTTTTCGCATTTTTACTCCTCGAATTTATTTTGTTGTCATAATTTTCTACATGTTTTTCGTTCTATTCAATACATGGCATTATGGAAATAAATGTTGTTGAATTGAAGTGAATTGAAGTGAATAGACAAACGCAGCAATGAAACACCAAAGAAAAGCAATCAGTGGAAAGTATGGGGTAGCTTTTTAAAAGATTTTTGATAATCACGGAGTGGTGGAAATGATGGATAAACTGTTCCGAACTGAGCTTTCTTCCCTACCTTTCTATGTTTCCCGTGCAAGCTGTATTCCATTCGACTTACTGCCATGCCCACTACTAGCTGCACCTTCCAGTGCTGGGGGGGGGGACCTAGGGTACGTCCCACAAAACATTTATCTCTTGTTAGGTTACTCCTACGAAGTTCGCTTTTCCTGGGGCTAGTCACCATAAACCATGATATCATCGTCGACAGTAGTATTACTTTTTATTCTCAGGTGATTCCACTTGTAATGACATTAGTCATCATGCTAGTTGGATGTACTCTTGGTTCATCTTGATGTCAGTCTGAGATATCACTGCGTTTGAATTACGCTGATTGGCTCACGCAATGCATTGGTGATTGGATAACAATATTGCTATTGACAGCTTGATGCTATTATTGCTCTTCGATGCACGTTGATGCCATCCCTGTTGAATTATTTTGGATCCAGCGCTGGATCCAATTAATGGTCAAAAAATTAATAAGCGCGTAGGCCTAATGTTTTGGGCGAATGTTTTACCGTGCACCATCCACAGCATTGCCCCACGGCCAGGCCCCCCAAAAATTCTGTTTAACTTGGGAGCACTTCTTGACAAAGTGCTTTTATTGACCGGAAATAACAAAAGCGCTAAATAATTTAACAGTTTCTTCCTTTCCACATTTCTACTATTAACCGATTCGATGACGCCATTACTGCCGTGTCCCTGTCACTCAGGCGTGCATTGCTAGGCTTGACTAGCAGGTGATTTTGGTTATCTCCCACTCCCATTGGCCGATTAGGAGTCATTCAATGTGCATCTATTCGTTCACGCGCGTGGGGACACCACAGTATTGGCTCCTGACTTTTGTCACCGGATCGGTCTACAGCGTTGCCTTAAACAGTACCCTGAAGACAAAATATGTGTAAAGCAGATACCAGAATCCCTGCAAGATCGATCACTGTACGGAGTATAACTGGTCGTGATAAAACGTTGATTGTGCTGCGCTGTTGCGACAGTGATTGGAAAAGTGACACTAGTGACATTGATAGGCCGGAAGTGGACAGAGAACGTTTGCGCAAACTGGTAGAAAATATTCAGGCCAAACTTACACAACTAGGTTTGGCTTTCGCGTTCATGGTAGAAAGTAGAGCGTCACAGGCTTGTATTATCGGACTTGGTAAATAAGCCGAGGCAATGAGATATCACTGCAAACGCTACGTCGACATGTTGGCCTTATTGACTGACTGGAAACGAAGTGATTCTCTACGTCTGACGTGGCGAAGGTTATAAAGAACCTCTTAATACGTGGCGTAATACAATGTGGCCAGTTCTCTGCCTCAGCATAACAACCAAGAAATCGATAACAGGGACGAAATACGAAATTGATTCAAGACGCGCAAGAGCTGTCCTGGAATAGATCATATCACATAGCCGAACTCATTTCCTAGCCACTTTAATAAGCGCGCAGCGAATGTTTGCATTCCACGATTTCCCAGGTAGGCCCATGGGGAATTGACGGTCGGAGTTTGCATATCCCTTCACGCCAAGATGTGCCCTTTATTTTCAATTTTGACGATATAACTGGAGTATAATTATGATAATCAATGGCAGGAACGAAATGTGATTCGTGCAACTGGACAAAATTGAAAAAGCAAACTGTTACATTGACTTTCCAAATTGTGAAGATACACCGTAGGTTTCACGCTGCTTATTTCCCAACTTCCAAAGTCCAACACATTAACAACACGGTACATCCGCATGCTCTGAAAAAAAAACGCAACCTCTAGTGAATTCTGTGTTTTGATAAGAGAACCATGCTTGAGAAGGATGCATCCATGTTGAGCACTTTTCATTCACATTATCGAGAGGCCAACGTCGGAGTCCTGCGTTTCAGCTGTCCTCTTCATTGTACACCAGGCTTGCCTGGTAAAGATCTCCAATTCATCTCGATTTAGTGCCAGTTAATTTATTCATAATGCCAGCATGAAACTCTCTTTCTAGATTTGCATTTAATTGTTTTCCCATTACCTGTATTGTTGTTTTTGCTCGTCTGTCTTTTGTCCAACTAGGTCTATAATTGTTCGTTAGTACATGCAGGGGTCCACATGCTTCCGAGCAACAGTGATTAGATTCACTTAATTCTGCGGCCCTCGCCCATATAATCGCTTTCCATTGTGCAAGTATTTTTAAAAATAATGTCTAGTTGGTGTTTGCTTTGCAATCCAAACCTGGAATTTCCACTCAAAGTGTCTGCCTTCAACTTCACGATTACATGATGTGACTTTATATTTGATTACATTATATTATAGTTTACGTGCTACGCTTGTATTTTTTTTCGTCGCTGTATTTTTGTCGAGGTCAAATAAATAATGAAATTAAATATACATAAAATGAAAGTTACCACACAATAATAAAAAAGGTTCAAACATCCATTAGAGATGGATATTAAATTAATAAAAAGTATTACGTGAAAAAGCAAAAATACCAATCAACCCCTAAGCTCCATAGATTTGAAGCTCGTAAAATGGGTCATAATTAAGGTTGCCTCAGGTATAACGGAGGGAGAACAAGCAATATCAGTGCATAAATCAACGCCATTCATGTTGACAAGAACCATCTCTTTCAGATTGCTCTAAAAATCAAACACAATAATACATATAATCCTCTGTGAATTGAACACCAAGAAGTTTTCCTTCACCATTTTTCAGACTTGTCAATTTCATCCGTAGGCGATCTCGTCAGGGCGACGAATGAATCCTGTGTATGGAGTATTGTCAGGCTCGGTCAGCATATTTAACCATATGGAACGCTGAGAATCGATACGTCTCGTATCTCATTAACGACAAGAGACAGAATTTCATTAATGAGTAAAAAAAACCCATTTTAGTTGACCGACAGAAGTGTACGTGGCCTTCAACCTCGTATGGTTACATAGATAGAAAGGACCTTTTCCCTTAGGACACTCCCTCGCCCTTTGAAAGTGCCCCTCCCCTTTCTAAGATGCCAGTTTATTAGGAGACCGACTCAGGGAAGAAATAATGATTTTGTTAACATGCCACCTGAGCGCGAAATTGTCCTTCACTACGGCGAGGTCTTGTAAGCAGTCTCATGCCATGGTGATTTACCTGGGCAAACTGGCTAATGTGACGACAGAAAATTAAGCACCCTGCTGCCGGCAAGCTTCATGAAACTGATTTCTGAAGGGACTTTTTCTCTCGTACTCAAACGTGAGCTGGCGGCGCTGTTGAAAGGAAGGCAACCTAACGCTCGGATCTAAGGTTTGCCCCTAGTGAGGGAAATCCAGGCGTAAACTGCACTTCTTGAAGCTGTTTTAACCTTTAAAAAGAAACTGTGTTACTCTTTGATGTCGTCTCAAAATCACTATGGCACCTTGCACAAGAATAAAGGCGTGGATGGCGTGTCGATCACCGATGTACTCAGAATTTAAAACGTGTTTTGTTTACAATTGGGTCAAATCTGTGGTTTGTGTGGGTCTGATGGCTCGATTTATCAAATGGTTGGCTGGGCCAGTCGATCGGCCCCCAGTTCCGTTTCTTGTACAGATATAATTATGGAACTGCTTTTTAACGGTTACGCGTTAACCTGTATATGGCATGACTTGTACTTGACCGAACAGTTGGGAGTAGTATTACTTGAAACTTTTCAATAGGTGCCGAAACATATTAACTGTAAAAATGACAAGTGTTGGACGTTTTACAGCAGGACAGGGCGCTGTTTCTTTTACATTATTCCGTATTTTATCCCTCATACCCGCTTGGCGGCAGTTATTTTTACGAAATTTGGAGCAATTTCTTTCAGGCTGTGTGCGACATAAGATTGAGAGTTAGTTAAATCTTCACGAGCACGAATTACTACCGTGGCATAAAATTTTGTCGACGCCCTCTATTTTGCGTCATAATTGTCAGTTTTCTATCAACTGAGTCCAGCTTGAAGCCGCTAGCTGAGAAATGCCCCGCTCGAGTCTCTTAGGTATAGCCTGTCACATTTTTCTCAAGCCTATTTCCTTTTTACGGAGATTTTAAAGGGACACGAGTGAGAAAAAATTGGGAAAAATGTTCTTTCCCAATTTTTTTCCTCACCCATGCCTCTTTAAAAGCTCCATACGTTTTCGTTTTTTGATAAAATAAATTCCGAAGCGCTGTTTTTTTGGCGACGTGACCTGTAACCCCCCCCCTTGATTTTTTTTTCTACAAGATTTTACATGGATGACCAAGTGAGGGCGCTAGTTCCATTGCCGTGTGTAGGCAGGTCCCGTGTTAATAATTCCGATGAACTAGCTAGATATAGGCATGGGGAATTCTACACCTTGCTTTCGTGCATAATTTCATCGTGTATAAAACCGGACGACAATTCGTGGAGCTTGCAGGTATCAAATTTGTTGCAATTTTATGCAAATAATGTTTCATTTTTTCCCAGAAATTTCTTGTGCTAATGTTTCGTACGTACGTTACGTTGCAATTTTCACATATTTTAATTTGTGTTTTAACATAAGCATTTTCGCGGTCGGAGATTGTTCCAGGCATTTATTCTAAATTATTGCACTCACGCCTGGGCAAAGGGGTAGTCCAGGCTAAGCACATAAATCGTGAAAATTTAGGCATCTTTGGTGTAAAGGTTAAGAGTTTGGTCAATAATTCAGATTTTCCCCATAGACGCAACACTAATTTTGCCACTTTGAGTTTCGAGTGTGAAATATGGAACAGCCACCAAATTGACCACTCAATCAAGAATCAGTGATGTCATCCCGACTGCGAGAATGATGATGATTCCTTTACGTTATTGGACTAGGGCCTAATTAACATTACGCGCTCGGTTATTACTCATTAGGTTCGTAGTCCTACCCCGAGCTAACTCCCGAGCGGACTACGAACCTCAGAGTTTTCGGGGTAGGCCTACGCCCAAAACTGTGAGGTTCATAGTCCTAAAAATTGCCTAAAAATTATTCAAAGTGACAGGGTACAGTGCAATAGATCTTGTGCAAATTAATTTTACTCCCTCCTGAGTTGATTTGCTTTGAATGAAATTCATTCATTGGATAATCAACTCAGGAGGGAGTACGGTAAATTTGCACAAAAGTCAAGATTGCGCTGAACACTTATTACTAGCTTCTTTGGCCTTGACCTTTGTCTTAACCAAAGTCGATTACAAACCTGGCCACCCTTCTCACACCTCTGTGCTGTCAGTATGGGCCGTTTTCACGTTTTTCAGATGTAACAGAGGGGAATAAATTTATGACAACATGTGAACATTTGGCCATGGATGCTTGCAATTGTTATTGTTGTAGACAATTTGTTCCCCTCTAGCTTTGTTTGGTTACCCGCGCAGGGGCGCTAAAATCAACATGGTGACGGAATGGGAAATTGGCTTTTTACTTTGGCTGGGATACATTGCTATGTAGCTTCTCAAGTAATGGCTCTCCGGTCATGTTTGCATTGACTTGCAACTGAGGTTGAGTTGAGCCATTGTAGCCATTGAATAATTCTGTAGGTTGGAGAACAAGGCCAGCGGAAAATAGCCTCTTCTAAAAAAAGAAGGATAGACATTTTGTTGGTTACGTTGCAAACTTTGAATAGATTTAAAGGAGGAAAGGTTTCAGTATTTGGCCTCCACAATTTTCAGGTGTCAAAATGATACACACTGAGTTTTAAAACTGACCTAAACCAACTTTTCCTCTGACAATTTCAGTTTTCCTTGACCATGTTGACTTGTCGTTGATAATAATGTAAGGTCAGGTGGAAAAGGTTATGTTTGGTGGCGAGTACATGTGGGCTGGATGTAAAACTTTTGCCTCCAACTTAAAGTACAAACCTTGGGAAGTATCTTGTGCTGCAGCATGCATGGTTATATTTTTCTCTTGGTTTTTTGCCTATTGGTTAATACATGTAGGTGTTTGGGGGCTGCTAGCAATGCATCATGGGAAATCAGCTGACCGGCATAGCACCCTCACAGATCTTTCCTGTTGAGCACTACCTGACAGATGTTACTGACTATGAGTTCGACACCAGTCTTGGGAGCACACGCTTCTTCAAAGTTGCCCGAGCAAAATACAAGTATGCTTGCCTAATAGTGCTTGCCTAATGTCCCCACTTGCAAGAAATCCTACAATGTTGTGAAATCAATCTCACTTAATCTAAAAATAATTCCTGGAAGTTTTCACATGACAAAAGGGTTCTCACAAGACTACTGGCTAAATTTTAGAGCTCAGTTCAAATGTTGAATGGTTTTCACGCCTTTTGCAAAAGTAATTGAAACTGATGCTCGTAGACCGGCTCCATTCAGGAATCCTTTAAAAAGGATCAGTAATTTAATAGTGTGGTGACATGGATGTAGAGGGAACATTAGTAAGATAGACTTGGTTCCAGTCGCTACAGTTGATGTATGCAGTATTGTAGAAGTGTTGAACCGATTATGATATGCTCTCATGTACATTTTGAGAATTTAGACAGTTTTAGAGTTTTGACAGTGAGACTTACAAATTTTGAGGCTAGTAAAAGAGCAATGGGGTATATTAGATCTGAAAATAAACATGACAGATTCACGTTGTTAAAAAACAGTCAATTTGCCCAATATGCTGATAGCTATCGCTGGCAAAATTTGATTTCTTTGCCCAATGTTTGTTACTCTTTGTAATTCGGCAGAGAGGGTCTGGCTGTAGTAAAAGTCTTTGCCATCCATGATCCTTCACTACCGCTGAGGTTTTACAAGGAAAAACTGGAAGATATTAAGAACAAACTCAGTCATTCTTCCAACTGTCTGCCGTTCCTGAGAAGCACGGTGAGCATTTTGGATTGGCTTAAACTCCCCATGGGTTTTTTTACCAATCTGAGTGAATCTTCCAAACTGAACTTGTTTGGGAAACCAGTAGCTCATTCTTGGCATAATACTTTGTGCTTTGCATTAACATTTTATAGGCATTTAGCTCCAAGGTAGCAGTTACTGGTTTGACCTGCCTGAATCCTACCAGGTAAGCCTCGAGCTGGACCAAAAGAGGGTGCACTGTTCTTAGCAATGGAGGCTTCTTTGGTCAGAACTGCACTTCGCTGGTTTGCAAATGACTAGGAAATGCATGCTACCAACAAAATGAACGCTCCCAACCAATATGGCACTCGTCAGCCCATGAGGGGGTGCTTCTGCTCAGGCGGATATGATCTCCTAATGCTCCAGCTGGATTTTGGAAACGAGGGTTAGGGTTTCAGTGGATTGCTTAGGGCATTCTGCTAGGAGCAGTGCTAGTCCAGATAAGCGCTTTACTTCAGCAACCAAAGATTTTTCCATATTAGTGGAACATAGCACTTTTGAACACCCCTGTAGAAAGACCAGGAAATGGGTTGTTAAAATAAAGGTAGTAAGTTTTGTGGATATCACTGCAAGTGGATACTTTGGCGAAGGAAACCGTCAGTGTTCAGCAGCAGTGGAGTCAAATTGTAAGTCTCTCACAAGCCCAGCCACAAAAGTACAGGCTTCAAGTAACTGGGTTTTAACATCAAGGGGATGCATCTGTCGCACTTCGTCTGAGTAAGGCAGAAAGTGATTGATTGTGTTGCTGTCATGTCAGGTGACATCACTGAAGCATATCAGCCATAATGTTCATTAACCCTAACCCCCAAGGGTGTAGGTAAAATTGTATTGAAAACGGAGGATTTGGGACTGTTAGAGTTAATGGATTGATTTTGATTGTTAATTTCAGTTATCTGACAAGGCGGCCTTGCTGTTCAGGCAATACATCCGTAACAATTTATACGATCGAATCAGTACCAGGCCGTTCCTCAACACCGTGGAGAAAAAATGGATAGCGTTTCAGCTCCTGTGTGCTGTCAATCAGGCCCACCGTGTCAAGGTAGGTCAACCCCTCCATCTTGTACTTTAAATCAATACGTTTTAATGAAGAAATACTGACAAAATAATACTTGAGTTCTAGTTGAATTGTCGTTGGTCATTGTGGCTTGCTGTCTCGTTATTCTTCTCGTAGGTGTGTCATGGTGACATTAAAAGCGAGAATGTCATGGTGACAGGCTGGAACTGGGTGCTATTGACAGACTTTGCCAGTTTCAAGCCCACCTTCTTGCCAGCTGTGAGTTCCATCATGTTTGTCGCTGTCAGAGTTTTCCCAGAGAGTGCCTCTCTCTCCTACAGGCACGCTTGGTCCAAATCTTGATTTTGAAAAACTGAATGCCGGCATACATGTTTATTTTTTAACGACTTTTCTTACTACGCTATCATGTTATCCATACTTAATCATTGTGATTAATGGTTTTGTGGATTTCGGGATGTGACATGTTTCATGTAGGACAATCCGGCAGACTTTTCGTTTTTCTTTGACACCTCTCGTCGTCGCACCTGCTACATTGCTCCTGAGCGCTTCATAGAGGCCAGCATGCGACAGTCGGAGACGATAGAGAGTTCGGAATCCATCATAGATGCCGGGGCTGTCAAGAAAGGAGAACTCACCCCACAAATGGACATATTCTCTACCGGGTAAGAAAGTCCCTTTAATGTGGATTTTTGTGCCAAGGTATCGTTATCTTTACCTCTTGTTTGCTGGCAAGTGATTGTTCTGAGAGATTTACATTGTATTTTACCCATGTGCAGTCAGGTGGAGAAAGGCAGTTGATATAAAGCGTCCTGCTTGAAAACACAAAGTTCTGCACCCTGAGTTGAAAGATTTCTTACCGAGCCTTTCTCTGAGCCGTACCTAAGAATGTGCATTCGTCACCTTGTCAACCAACTTCTCCACACTTTCCGTGTTTAACTTGACAATGTATCCTAGGTGTGTCATTGCGGAGCTGTTCACAGAAGGCCATGCGCCCTTTGACCTTTCCCAGCTGCTTGCCTATTGCAGCGGCACCTACAGCCCAGACAACATGCTGAATAAAATTGAGGAGCCTAGCATCAAGGTGAGGATTGTGTACATGTACTCAGCGTGTTAAAGTGAAATCAATCATTATTGCTCGGTTTGCAGGTGCCAAAATAATTTGTCAAGAAATGTGCTAAAAAGCATGTGATTTTTTGATATATGAGAAAATCTGACTTTTATGGGAAGCTCTATTCATTGATAGAGTGGTTTTTTTTAATCCTTTCAGGCCCTGGTAGAACACATGCTACAAAAGGATCCATCCAAACGTTTATCAGCAGAGGAGTATTTAAAGGAGTGGAGGACCAAAGCCTTTCCCAATGTGTTCTACAGCTACCTCAAGGTCTTCTTGGGAGAATTCGCCGGTATCCCCATCCTCCCCTCAGATGAGAAAATTGCCAGGTACCAGCCGGACTGTAGGGTCAGTCAGCAACTGTTGGTTGATCAGTCGGGGATTTTGCCTAGTACACAGGTTCCATTTTGTGGTTACCAGGCAAAATCCACTAGTGGTTTGTAAATGATCGTCAATCAAACTTGGCGCACAGTTCACTGGTTTTTTATAAACTCAAGTTGATTTGCAGATTGTTAAAAACCATAGCTGTGATCCCAACCAGAGATGCGGCACTCACATCTCAACACCTCATTTAACCGGACACTCCCGCTGAGTGTGTAAATGTGACTCACAGCTCACTTGAGCTCAGTAGTGCCACCTTTTTGTTGTGATTAAAAAGAAATTGTACATGCCTGGTTATAATTTCCATTCATTCAACACTGCCATGTCGTACCCTTTTCTTCATCTCTAGGTTGAAGAGAGACATGGGTAAAATCATCAAGGCACTGTGCCCGTCTGATGAGAAACAAGATGGCTGTAAAGACAGTGACAATGGCCTTGTTATTGTCTTGTCCCTTGTCACCTCCTGCCTGCGAACTCTCAAGGTGAATATCACACTCATGTAACTTGCAGCTGTGCCTAATCTCATTGCTTTCATGTTTTTGTTGCCAATTTGTAGCCAACCAGGGTCAACCCAATTGCTAATCTTTAGAAAGCCATGGTTGCCTTAATGTGCAAACTCTTGACAGCCAGGGTCAACCCAACTGCAAATTTTAGCAGAGCCAGGGCTGATTAAACCTACCCAAGTGTCACTTTACAGAGTTCCAGAGCTGACACAGTAGGCCTAATTGCCAATCTGTGGATAGCCAAGATTGGCCCAATATGCAATTTTGCAGAGTCTTGGGTCAGCCCAATTGATAATCTCCAAACTGCTGTAGCAAGTTACACCATGTCTTTTACACGTGCTCTTTTGACTATGTGTACAAAGTGCAACAAAAATTGTCAGCAGGATTTGATTTGCTCTTCATGTCCTTTCTCCTGCGTTTTAGTTTTGCATCTCTAAGTTGGCTGGATTGGAGATTCTCTTGATGATCGCTCATCACATACCGGATGATCTCGTCCTAGATCGCATCATTCCACACATGGTAAGGTGTTGGTCTTACTCCACAGAAGCTCGGATACAACTTTTTCGTCATGCACCAAAGGATCGCACCCGGAGTTTTGTTCTTGATGTGAAGGGAATTTTTCCATTGTCAAGGGCACTTTTATTCATACACTCCTTGTCTGTAGGGATAAATCCTTTGACCCGAGGTAGCTCAATGTTTGAGCTCATTCTGCTGAAAACTGATCATCGACCCGCAGTCAGTGCATTGACTGACACATGTGAGCCAGTGTGCTCTAGCTCAAACCAGTCCACACGTCAGGTGTGCCACTTGGCCTCGGATCAGGAGATTTCCTTGCTCTTGACATCCCATTTAGAATTTTAAGACATGTCTTTCCATTGGCTTGTCTTTAAAAGTCCACACGACGTTACCTTCTGTTCTTTTAACATGAAGAGGTGTTTGTCATGATATTACTCGGACCTTTTTTCTCAGAATTTTAGTGCAAAGCAGAATGAGTGAAAAGACTGGTGAATACTTTCTTCTTTTTTTTCATCCTAGCTTCATTTCATCAGCGATCCTTTCCCAAGAGTACGAGCTGAGGCTATCCGTACCCTCAGCCAAACCCTGACCCTGGTCAACTCAGTACCCAGAAGGTCAGCAGGATTCCAAACTAGCTATTCAAACTAATAAGCCTTTTACAAGTTAAAATAGAATGCAATCTGGTACACTAAGTTATCTGATTGCGCATAAACATAACGACTTGATTTCCCCAGACTAAAGACCCTGTTGCTGTACCTTATGATTCGGAGCAAGCTTTTGCTCAGCCACCACCATCTCTGGAATGGACTGGTTCCTTTGTGCCTTTGTTATCCATTGAGAACAGTGTATTGAGGCAAGGCATCTCTTATATAACTAAGCGAAAGCTTGCCTCGAATCAGGAGGTATGGCAACAGTGTCTTTAGTATGGAGAATTCAAATTGTTATGTACATGTACTCATGAATTAAAAGAACTCAGTGTACCAGATTTTATTAAAATTCAACTCACAACAGGCTTATTGATATATATCCACAGTTGGTGGGAGCAGCAATCACTAAACAGGAAAGAGGTTGAATTGTGGGTAATAGTGAACTAGTCTGTGTTTATTAAAGCCGAAACAGAGTCGAAAGTATCCAGCTTGCATACTTTTTTTCAAGGATGAATAAAAAAGAGCATAGCTGACAAAATGAGACAATCTTCCGCTTCGAGCAGTGCAATGCACTCTCACACAAGTACAAATCAGATAACTTGAAGCAATTTATAATAGAGTCTTTCCAGGACTTGTTTCACAGCTCAATGAGTGGTTAAGACATCTGTACTAGTAAGCAGGAGGTTGTGGGTTCGAGTCCCACCCGAGCAAGGTGACAAGCGCCGAGAATACCGTGTTCACGTCTGGAAGGGCAAAACCTGTAATTCAAATCAGTCCAATGAGGTGGGGTTTTTTGTTCTTGCATTGCAGTGATGCGAATATTTTCCCAGAGTACATTCTTCCAAACCTGGTAAGTGATTGAACCCCTAAATTAACAGTTGCTTGGAGTAGCTTTATTGCATTCACGATTGTGGCAGTGGTGGGATGTGAACCCGACACCGAGTGAAATTCTGGCTTTGCAGCTTCTCGTTGATTGCCTCTTCACCGCGTTTTGAGTTTGTAGCCCTGACTTCAGATTATGTTCTTCTCTTCTGTGGTTCAGTCTAACCTGCCGCAGGATGAAGTTGTGTTAGTCCGCGTGGCCTACGCTGAGAACATTGCCGTCTTGGCAGAGACAGCCCTTCGATTTCTGGAAATGGTCCAGCTGGATCACACGACGAACCAGGATGCACAGGCAGACTCTGTCCAGGACCCTAATGTCCAGTACCAGGTAACCTGACCAGACATCAGTCCGAAAATTGCTTTAAGTCTGCTTTGGAGAAAATAAACTTCTTTGCAACTTCCATGCCCCCGGCCGAACCTAAATTTGGCTTTCTTGTCTACATCTCTTCACTGCTGAGCCTCAGCCAAAGGAACACACTGGATTTAGACATGGCTCGTTATTCTTACGGTAATTGCAAAATTGGGTCCTGAACCCTTGACGTGCACCATCTCTTTGAAAGTCCTGTGTTTTGTGAAGCATAGAACATTGAATCCAGTGTTACTTCTTTTTTTATCTTGATTCCAGGCCAGTTATGATGATGAACTGCAGAATCTTCATGGCATGATTCAACAGAAAGTTGTTACCTTGCTTAGCGACACGGTGAGTGTCCTAGGTTCAGGGGAGATAAAGTTGTACTTCCTTCTTAAACCTATTGTCCACTCCTCAAAACAGTCCAGACAGACAGTTCAGGGGTCAGTGATGCCCAAGCTGACGAATTAGCTAAGCGGCAAAATTATTGCTTAGCCAAAGTGGATGCAATAAGTCTTGCAGCACAATTCACTTTTGACTGGTATCTGTCTTATTAATTGTTTAGCACTTAAATTGTTTTGTTAAGCAGCATTTCCAATCAGATGTTGCAGATTCATGCCACATGCTCAGAAATTTGCCATTTGACTTCGTCATTTGGCCTTTAAATTTTGTAAGTTTTTCCATTGAGATTATTTTGGAAATTGTTTCCGTCAGGAGAATATCGTAAAGCAGACTCTGTTGGAGAATGGTATCACCAGGCTTTGCGTATTCTTCGGCCGACAGAAGGCGAATGATGTCCTGCTGTCCCATATGATTACATTCCTCAACGACAAGGTATCAGTTTAAACCAGTCTCATACAAAAAGTGGCTTAATAATGCACGGCCTGTCCCTAAATGTGTCCAATCTGAGAATTTCAAGCTTTTTTCCAAAATTTGTAGATTTTCTTGCTCTTCACTTCCCACCTCAGAGATTCTGCTCAGCTTCTGAGAATGTCCTTTTCCTGGCTTCTCTCTTGCATCAAATTGTTTAAGGGATAAGACACTGCTTGAAGACTGAAAATTGTCTTTTTTTTGTATCGCCAGAATGATTGGCATCTTCGTGGCTCCTTCTTTGACAGTATCGTTGGTGTCGCCGCTTACGTCGGTTGGCAGAGTTCATTCATTCTCAAACCCCTCATCCAGCAGGTATTGGTCCTTCACCTACCCTGTGGAACTGTCTAGAAACTGTAGAGTAGTTTTTCTTGAATATTGGCTTGCCGTTCTCTAGTACAGGACTTGTGTCTGTGAACATACGAGTGAGGTTGCGAATGAAGTGCGGTTGAACATTGTTATTAAATTTCATATTCCTTGCATATAGATGCATGTGATGCTACAGACATTGAATATGCATGCCATGTGTTACTAAAAAAAATGTTGCTACTCTGTTAAAATATGTTGTCTGTTCGCGCATGTGGTCATTACAATTGCCCAGGCAGGTTGAGTCTAGCTTCTCGTAGGAAGAGTAGTCAGTCAGCCAGCAGTCGGCATATGTACCGTTTTCCATTTGTTGATTGTCCAGGGCCTATGTGACTCCGAAGAGTTTGTCATCTGTAAGGCACTCACTGCCTTGACCAGTCTGATAGAGCTTGGTCTACTACAGAAGCCGATAATCCTAGACCTGGCCTCTGAGATAGTACCTAACCTCTGCCATCCGGTAAGTCCTAGAGACCAAACATGTTGCCGGGCTGAAAGAGGTAAGTCTGCCACAGAAACCAATAATCCTAGACCTGGCCTCTGAGATAGTACCCAACCTCTGCCATCCGGTAAG